CTCTATTCCTATGAGCACCTCCGTGAGATTGAATTGGCATGTCATCTTGAAATTTACGAAGTCACCGAAGTCACCTCGTCGTCGACGGGAACGTCTCCTCCCACTGAAAACGCATCGCCGAAAATCCTGAAATAAATCCAGGAATAATGCGAGCATCAGGACTTGAACCCTGATGGGTTGGGGATACCATTGTTCTTCTAACCATCCAACCACAGGTTGGTTCGCAGCTTAATTGACGCGTGGTACTACTGCAACACCATACAAAACGCGTTTTCCCGCCAAGAAGAAAAACGAAAACTTATCGTAATCCCATAGCCTAGGAGCGACACTAAATTAAGGTGCTTTGCCGTATGTGCACCCACCTCTCGCTTCTTTTGTATACCTCCGGCTCCGTCCCGTCACGCTGACGCTGGTTTTCCGGCATCACTTCAGGGCACGTGAGGGTTGGTTTTCACGTACACAACCCATCAAGATGTAGAGCAGAGTCGCCGATCGCGGTGCATCCACCTGTGATTCGTGGCCTCGTCCAGCATTCGCCTTCTGCTGGTTGGTTGATGGTCCATGCTTCAATTCATCATCGCCGGCGTCTTCTAGCAACATATGGAGACTTCATAAGCATGGTTACAAGTTACAACGACTTCCTGACTACGGCAATACAAAGCAGGTGCGACATCGAGTTAGGTTCACAGCACATCGTCGCCCAAATTCCACTTGGTCGTGTTTGTATTTATTTTCAGGGGTGTTTTCTAAGGCTTGGAGTTGATAGTACTATATGGCTTTTGGCCATCACAACAACACCAACAAAATAAATACTTGTTTTATTTCAAGAAAATGAATTAAAAATAAATACTTTACGCTATTAATGAGAACAATACAGGCAGATAAGTGGCTACTAGTTGTGATTAAAATCTACTCAAATGATAAGTGCCACACATCAGGTGTGTGGCGCTCCTACCCATACGTTTTTCAATGGCAATTGCAGTCTTGCAAGGCTGCCAATTTTCAGTGACACATGGCAAGTTTTTGTAAAAAATAAACTGGAGCATGAAAGTTGTCATGCTTGCGTCACCAAACTTTTCAAAAACCATGGCAACTTTCGTGCTTCAGTTTATTTTTGATAAAAACTTGTCATGTGTCACTGAAAATGGACATCCTTGCATGATAGGAATTGCCATCGAAAAACGCCAGGGCCGGAGAGCCATGCACCTGAGGTGTGACAGTTATCATTTAGTCTCAAAGGTCTACACGACGCTCAAGCATTAAAACATGTATGCTCTACATGAAAAGTAACTACACATTTGAGTGTTTTCTTTCCACTAACATGGTCATATTTCGAGTACAATGACCAGGGAAGTTCATGTAAAAAATCAGACTCTATTTTAGAAAATTAAATAAACTCACAATGACAAAATAATTTTTAAATATTCCTCAGAAAATATGGGGTCACCTAAAATAACTACCAGCCGTCTTAATTTCATCAATTTTAAAGTATAGCAACAACATAGGGTTTTCAAAATGTAGAGACTATTTTGTGAGAGATGTCATTAAATGAGATTTTGTGTAGTAACACTGACTCGCTTTTTTGTGAACAAAGAGTACGACCGCACAAAATCCACACTAGCACTAGAGTTTTGGAATTAATTTTGTAGGAGGATTGACATTTAACTGTAAATACTCTATAAGCTATCGATCTATGTAAAAAACAATGCATGTCTTTGTAATTGTTTTTTCATTATTAATCATTTATTTATTTATTTATTTTGTGAGTCATTTAGACTGCAGGCTTTGTGGTCTGTGGCATGAAAATTGAATTGGGAAATTTAAGCTTTAGTGATATTTCATAGTCAATGTTTATGCTATTTATGCTTTCCCGTCATGTTGAAATAGTGGGTGTCTTGAGTCATGCTAAGGCTACTCATAGTAGGGAGTATCATATCTCTGACTCTTTGCACTGCTACGTACGTACTGTAGTACGTACTTACGTACCGGTACCGCATAGATGGGCGGTCGGTCGAGTTTATGGCTCATGAAACACCAGCACTGCACGTACTTTGTACTCCGTATATACAGTGTTTTACCGGTGAAAGTACGCACGCTGGCGTTTTCCTCTCTCAGTAAAACGATGAAGTTAACTGTGCCAAAAAGTTTGGGAGATCGACACAACAGCGGTTCTGAAGTTTACGGCATGGTCCATGTACACCTTCTCTAGTGATGTTTTTCTGGTACTCCAGCGAAGCTCTGATGAACAGCTCCGACACAAACGGACGACCACTTTGCGACATGATGGTTGGTTGACAATATGTGCATGTATGATGTATGCATTAAGTGGACGTGTACGCAGTCTTGTGGCCCGGCACGACTGAGTTGGTGTGTGTCCTAATAATTACGTATGATTCTGATCACGGCCGATAATGCATGTTACTACCTTGACTCTGGCCTCGATCACCATCCGAGCGCGTACTTGAAGGTCCAGATGAAGTGGTGGCTACACACATCGGTTCCACTGTTAATTGATCTCATCCGGACACATGCGGCCTTCTCAGCTTAACGCGTGCCTCTAAGGCAGTGGTGGGTGGCATCAATACATCGTAATCACGAAGTTCAGGAGTGACAGTGAAGTTGCTTGCCGTATGCGCATGTGCCTTTCGTTCTTTCTGTGTGTTTGCTACTCCCTTCGTCTCATGATATAATATAAGAGCGTTTTTTATACTCTGAAAATAGCCAGGCTATGAGTCGACTTTGCTAGGAGAATAAGGACACACACATGGAACTCTGACTCCCCGACGAAGCCGAGCCAAGAGCAAGCTGGAGACAAGGACGCCGTCGTGACGTTCTCATGAAAATGAGTCCAAGGCTTGACTGTGCGGCCGTGCGGGTGTGCAGGTGGTCGATGGTGCCATAGCGAGGGATTACAGTGATGGTCAGACGACGACGGCTCATGCAGAGTCCGGGGGTTTGGGGTGGGCGGTGCCATCGGTTAGGCAGGTCTTGGAAGGCGGCTCGGGTGCAAGGAGGAAGATAACCGGGAGGAAAAAAGCATCATGTACCAGAATCGACTTACACTGATTTTCTTTTCCAAACGACTAAATATGACCTATCCCTTCCGTCCTTAAATACTTACCCATATTCATATGAACAACAATTGAACAATACAACAAGATAACCGACAAACTATGAGTGATTTGTATCTCACGTCCTCCATAACTGTGGATCGCCGATATTCATACGAAAAACAAATGAACTACACAGCGAGGTAGGTGACACTTCATTTATTTATTTTAAAAAATGATCAACCACTATGACAGTTGGGGAGGAAGAAGATCACGCCACAAGACGGCGCGACCCCGATGAGAAGAAGTTTTTGGCCGGTGAGACCAAATTGTGAGCTCATCAATAATTGAGCGGATTGTGTCCACATGTTAGAGGCATACATCATTAGAGACCATTTGGTTTCTCGCCTTCCAAATTTTCCAGAGCACTGTTTAGAATGATGAAATCATTGATGGTTGAAGGCAAAAAACAATGAGACAATGTGAAGGCCCTCAATTTACTGATTATATCCTTAAATTTTGGTAGAGCGATGGTACTGCCACCCCACTGTGCGAAGAGATTTTGTAGGTGTGCGGCCCGAGCGGCGAAAGACCGACCGACCGACCGACCGAGCGGGCCGAAGCGAATCGGGTCCGATAACACGCGGAAGCAGAGGCGTGGTCGGTCGGTGTTCCGTCGCGCACGCGTGACGGAAACGAAGAGACGGTCAGACACGACGCGCCAAGCGGCGCCAAGCCACACGCCACCGACGCCGTACGTGGCCCCATAATAAGGGCGCGAGCGCTCCCCGCCGCCGCCAATCCCCAGCCCTAACCGGCGCGATCAACCGACCATGGCCAGCGAGGAAGCGCTCCGCGGCTCCTACTCCGATTACCACTACTCCGTCGACGACGACGACGACGCCGGCATGTACGCGTACTACTCCGACGAGGACGCCGGGGGGGACGAGGAGGGCGAGGAGGAGCCGAGGCCGCCGGCCAGGAGGAAGAGGGCCGGCGACCGCAGGGCGCCGCGCGGGCCGCTGCGGTCCGTCAGGCGGCGCACGGCTCTGCCGCCGGGCTGCGGCGGCGCCGGGCCGTGGGGCGGGAAGCAGCGGAGGAAGCTCCTGGCGTGGCGGCTGCGGGGGAAGGACCAGCGGCGGCAGGCGAGGGAGAGGGCGCGGTGGTCCGGCGTCAAGGCGCCGCCCGGCCTGCTCGATCCCATCTTCCTGGACCTCGAGATTGATCTGGGTGATGATTAACGAGTGTTCTGTACGGGCATACTACTACTAGTATTTATTAGTGGCTGGTTTCTGTCTAACGTTTACGCTGGCACTGAATTAACGTGGAAAGTACATCCAGTCGAACTTGGCTCGCAAATGTTGCTAAACCGAGGAAAATTCAGTTCTGGTCCTAAACCAAGACATTTGGTTATGGCCGTTCCTTTGGTTAATCTATTCATTTCAAGCTCATTTAGTATATAGTCAGTTATGAACTTGACTGATTTTTCATGAATCTACAAACAAGTTCTTTATCTGGCATTCAGAAGTTGAAACAATAAGCTCAGGTATCTTCTGTCAGCATAAGCACAGTGATAAAGATCACTTGATTGAAGTTTGGTAAAGCAGACTGTTTATCAAACGCTGAATTTGGCAGAGTTCTTGCTCGGTCCTTTTACACACAAGATTACATGCATTGTAGTACGAATTCATACTCCGAATTCATGACAAATAATTTCAGATAGCATTTTTCAAACAGCAAAAGGAGCCAAGGAATCCAGCAAATTTGCTCTTAAACGTGACATGAGTAGCAATTAGCAAAGCTACGTACTGTGATAATTAATTATACTTATGGTAGAACAGGTTTTGAGCCTGGAACTCCGCAAAACTATCAGACTACTGCGGCATGGAGAAGCAGAGAGTCCATATATACGATGTGCACCAAACAAACTGACTGATTGCAAGCAGCTAATCAAGCCTTCTCGTCAGGAGCGCCAGATAAATGGGCCTTCTCGATGTGGCGTGTGATCTGTGAAACTGCGTAGTGAGAGGCACTTGATGCAGCATAATAGGATGTCACAGTGAGCTGGGCAAACGTTGGGAGCGCATATGCTGCAAGAAACAAAGTAGCAGATGATCAGGCATAATGTCTCGAAAATGCAATTCCTCGGACTGCACGCTCCAGCGAATGGCTGGTGAGTCTTCAGGAGTATTTTTAGTTTTCAATATAACAGGCACAGGATAAGAAATTGCTAGTTTATACCTAGCTAATGTTGGCAACATGCCTGACAACATGTAGCTAAGTATACAAAAAAAGACTTACCATCCAACAATCAATTGAGGCTAAGATTAGAAATATCTTCAAGAGGAGCATCGGAGATTTGTAATAACCATAGATTTACCATACGCTCTAATAGATTAGAAATAAATTTTAGAGAAACTACAGAGATTTGGAATAAGCCAAGAGCTCTATAATCTGCCAAAGTGCAGATGACCCACTTCCCGTTTGAGATAACGACTTGTTAACCTAAGAAATTTAAGACTCATAGAACTAGGAAGAACAGGATACATGTCTTCTGTAACTTTGCTCAGCTGTCAATTTTTACGTGGTTATTAGGATAACAGAAATTGGGAAGGTATATGCGATGCTTAAAGAAAGCTAAAATGAAGCATACCCCATGTCCAGTCCCAACCTGATCAAATAATTCCTTTCTATTGCACCTAAAATCTATATCTGCAACCTCGATACAGGATTTGCAAGTAAATGCTAGGCTGAGAACTATATAGAAATATACAGACAGATACTAAACAAAAAATGATGGTGGATCACACTATTTTCTTATGGTCACTTTCTCTGTGCGCCCTTAACAAATGCATACAGGCCATAGAGGTTCACAATGATTACCAATGCACAAACAAAACAAGAAGAAAAAGAACATATTCCAGGTTTTTTAGCTATAATATGCAAATTTCTATACAGGGGGGTATTTGTTGTCAACGCTAATTTCAAGAAACTTTTTAGATAAGAAAATGATAACTGAACTTCGTTGCAAAAACTTACCCCCAAATAAAGCACTGGCACCAGAGAATAAGATCAAAGGAGGGACCTGCACAAAGAAAATATCACCTCCAATTAAATGAAAATGTAACAACAATGTGAACTTAACAGTTACAGAAACTGCTACGAGTGCCAAACATAAAGCAGATAAATGAAAATCCATTGCCAGTTGCACCGAGAACACATGATAAAAAAAGCCCCAAGGCAAGTAAATAACACATGTCATAATCTCAGCAGTCTAAAAGATGGCAGCAAACCAGAACTTATGTTAAGTTTGAATTTTCTAATGCTGAAAATGCAGAAAACCCATGTTTATGATTCTAAATTCAACCGTTTTTTCCAATAAAAATCTGTCCAGCCAGTCACACATTCGAACAGGTGCCTTGGGAGATGGCATTTCTTTACCTTCCGTCAATATCATTTGTTCAAAAATTAAGCAAATATCATTCGATCCTTTAAAATTAAGTAAATACCCTGATCTTGTTCTTGAACTACACACAGGCACACAGCTAAGTTCAAAATTGTATCATGCTTGAAAGACAGGTTTCGCTAATTAGTTTCCTTTAGTGTTCCTATCCGTATAGAATGGCAGAAGTTTTCTCGATTAACTTATCATTCCTGTAGCAGACACCAAACGCCTTTACTCGTATAGAGTTTGATGTGATCATAAACTGGGGTCAATTTGCGCCGAACTGTCACTCATTCTCCTGATTAACTAATGATGGATAACCTCCTTCACTACATACATCTTCTAGCGTCACAATTGCAAAACACAGCTTTAGAGATGTAAGAAGATGCACCAATCTTTTAAACTATCCTGACAAAACTGTAAATCCAACAATCAAGATGACCGAGCTGAATCAAAGCGATACTTGCATACCAGCACCATATGAACCAAAATCAAGACTTACCCCAACAAGTAAGTGCAGCCACTTGGGCCCCTTGACATGCTTCTGGACAAACGGGATCCCTGTTCCAAAAACCAAAACATTCCAATTTCTCATCCAGAGCATACCTGACTAACAACTAAGCAATGGACCGAAATCAAACACAACGAACCTGTATTAAACCCGTGCACCGCACTGAGCATCGCGCCGGCGCCAGAACCAGTCTGCAGCAACAGGACAGGCAGGAAGCCAGCACACAAAGTTAGCGACGAATCTCCCCAATTACGGATCTCGGGCAGGCGCCCGTAGAAATTAAGCAGCAAAAAAGGGGGGCGAAATCGCGTTACCACGGCGGTGGCGTCGTGCAGGACGGAGGTGATGGCCCAGTCGCGCCCTCCCTGCGCGGCCGTCCAAGCGAAAAGCACAAACATCCGGTCAGAACGAACCGCGGGGCAGATGGAGGAGGAGGAATCGGGAGAGGGGGGGAAGGGGGGTTGGGGAGTACGTACGGAGCTGGTGGCGGGGTTGAGGAGGGAGAGGCAGCGGGGGCAGCGAGCGGAGCCGAGGCCGGGGTTGATGGTGGGGTCGCGGTGGAGGTGCGCGCCGCTGCGGAGCTTCTCCTCGTACACCTCCCGCGTCCCCATGTTCGCCGGCGGCTGAGCTAGGCCTGGCTTGGGGAGGGGGAGAAGACGTGGACGGTTTTGGGTTCCGGGGAAGAGCGTGCTGGACTGTGGAGGCTCTTTTCCTTCCGTGACACGGGCTGGAGGCGTCAGCTTCACTGGGCTAGGCACGACCACGGCCCAAATAGATATCGCAGTTTTCTTTTTTAGCCCCGAAATCAAAGAAGTACTCCTTCCAAACATCACTCTCACCCTTCAGGATGCGACAAGTGGCGCACTGAAAAGTGAGCTTTCCCCTTTTCATAGATTCATTTTTTTAAACGTTATATCTCTTAAACTGTGCGTTCAATTTTTGGACCGTTTTCATCATTGAATTTCTGGCGTCGAGATCTTCAAAACTAGATACCTGTTAATAGGTTTAGACAAACTTTTTTTCATAAAAAAACGGATAAAAAAACCGAACAGGAAGCATTTTTTCCCTTTTCGAAAGAGACACGACCATGCCTCTCGCAAAAACAAAATCGTGCCTTTCACGGAATCAAAATCATGCCTCTAGTGGAAAGAAGAAGAAAAACTCATTTTTTTTCCTTTTCAAGAGGCGTGGTCGTGCTTCTCGTGGAAGAAAAAAAACATGATTTTTTTTCATTTCAAGAGGCACAGCCATGCCTCTCGCAAAAGGGAAAAAACAAAATGCCTTTTTTCGGTTTCCGAGAGGCAAGGCCGTGCCTCTCGTGAAAGCAAAACTATGCCTCTTCCGGAAGGAAAAATGTGTTTTTTTCGTTTCAGAGAAGCACGGTCATGCCTCTCGCGAAAGCAAAACAGTGTCTCCTGTGGAAGCAAAATCGTGCCTCTCGCGCAAGAAAAAGCAAAACGGTTTTTTTCTCGCAAATTTTTTTTTTGAAACTTTTCTCGTCCAAAAGCTAAGAAAGACCGATGAAAAACAAAAAAAAAACCCCGTCTAAAATGCCGAAAACATCTGAAAAAAATCCATAGAAACGCCCAGAGCGCGACATGCGGCAGCGGCTTAAAACGTGCCAAGTGACACACTCTTGCCCCTCCCTCCAAATGATCGTTAGAGGCTCCCGAAGGAGCGATCGTTAACTAGTTGCTCTCTTACGTGTACATATAGGAGGTCCCGACGCTCAAGTGCGTCCCACTGCCAGCGCTTACGCGTAACAGGATCCTAACAGGTCGGCCCATTCAGTGCCCGATAGCGAGCTGTCTTGTGCGACTGCTAAAATCCCTCAAAAATGCGTCGGAGACCCAGTGTTCCTTAGCACTTGAGCTTTTGAGTGTAAAAAATCCGTAGGTTGTGCGAACATTTAAGAACAAACTGCAGCCGCTAATACAAAAAAATCAGATTTTTATGACCATTTCTTAGAAAATGGTTAATAAATGTCTTTAAAAATTGCAAATAATAACTCATGAACAGGTATCAAGTTCGAAGAAAATTGTAAAACGTGAACAGTTTTGAATTTGAACATTTTTCAAACTGTGAACAAATGTCAAATTCCGAACAATTTTTCTGAAATGCGAAAAAAGTTAAAAAAAGTGAATTTGAAATAGACATTGAAAATTTTCTAAGTACACGATGAACATTATTCAAATACACAATGAATTTTTTTGAAAAATACGGTGAACTCCTTTTCAAATGCACACTGAACAATTGTTCTAAACATGATGAACATTTGTTCATACATAGTTAATATTGTCTTCAATGTACGGTGACATTTATTTCAAAACACTATTTTTTTAAACGAGATCAAAATTTGAAAACGTAACAATTTTTAAAAACATGAACAAAATTTGGATTTAGAACATTTTGCCAAAAATAAGAGATGAAATTATGATTGACTTGGATTTTTTTTTTTTGAATTTATGAAGAAAAATGGAACAAATTAGAAGAAAAACAAAAATCAAACGAAATATATGAAAAAAACTAGATAAAAACCAGTAAAAGATAAAAAAAAAGGTAAAAACTGGTTCGTGTGGTTCGCTAAACGTTGCTCACTTTGAAGTGGGCCGGCCCGTGTCGCGTCTGTCGCTCGCAACGTTTCAGCAAAGCCGTAACAGTTTGATGCTCACGGCAAATAAGATCCACCTTTCCTGTACGAGAAAGCGAGCAAACTCGCATTACTTTTTTTAAGTTGAAATTCTAAAAAAAAAAACTTAACCTGAAAAAGCCTTCACAATTAAAAAATGTTCTTAGAATTCAAAAAATGGAATATTAAAATATGTTAAAGAATATGAAAATCGTTTCTGAATTTATAAAAATGTACATGAATTTGGAAATCGTTACTTATTTACTATATAAATTATTCTAATTTCAACAAAAATGCGAATTAAATAAATTGTTCCTGCATTTCACAAAATGTTCATAAATTTGGAAATTGTTTCTGAATTCCATAAAATGTCCCCATATTTTAAAAAATACTCATGAATTTGAATGCTGTTCCCACATTTCAATGAATGTTCTGGATTTTAAAAAATCATGAATTTAAAAAAAATGTATTTCAAAAAAAGCTCCGATATTTCAAAAATCATGCATTTGAAAATTCGCAAATTTCAAAAAAACATGTTTCAAAAATTGTTCAAAAAATAAAAATGTTGATAAAATAAAAAGTAGAACACAAGAAAGGTGATAGAAAAGATAATTAAAAATTAAAAAACAGAAGAAACAAATGGTTCACAGAATATTCTAGAACCTTCTCAATATCCATTGTATAAAAGCTCACTATAAACAGAATATGGGTCTGTCATATACTGCACGAGCGTTTCTGGGGGTACGTGGTACCTGGCTATTCCGCGATCTGTTCGGGAAATAAGATTCGTCGTAGATGAGTGTACCCGTGCATCCCTGTTAAAACCTCTCCATTTGACCCGGGATTAAATTATCTCGTCACGAGGAGTTGGTTTTGGGAGGAAGAAAAGCGAGCACAATAAGGCGATGTTGTGGCGGTCCACCTCCTCTGCAGCGGCGTCGACAAGGCAGTGGTCCCACTCTCAAACGCCATCACTACTCCGCGTATCACAAAGTACATTTAGACTGGTCACAATGGACAGGAACATAAGCTAGTAACCTACACACTTCTCTCGACTATGTTACTATCTTTATAATGGGTAGGAACATGTATGTAGTGTCATGGAACGATGTATTTATTAGGATATAGACTCATTGTTTCTTGAAGTGTGTGATGTTCCGGTAACTTAGCCAGTTACCACAAGAAGCTCTCTCCATTAAATATGTGCCACATAAACAAAATTGCATTGGAGTGTGTGATGTTACTCCTAAGTTCCTGTCCATTGTGACCAGCCTTATATGACCAAGGCTAGGCAGAAAAACTAAGAACCAAAGACCGGAGCCAAAAAAAACTGAGACCAAAGCCGAAAAAACCGAGGACCAAAGGTTCGGTTGTTGTCTGGGTTAGCGAACGTGAGAAACCGATATTACATCGATGAATTCGCTCGTTGAATGTTGTTGACCGAATCTCCCGAACTAACCAAAATAGTAGTACTGTATTAAGGCCATACTAATTAAGCCTAATAGTTTTTTTAAACGAAAGCTCGCGAAGAGCCCTGCTTTAAATTAATAAAGTCATCAACTGGCTAGAAAATACAAATACACACAAACCCCCATGACCAAACGATGCAACGGGACACTCTAGGAGGCTTACAACTCAATAGGTCGCACAAGCTTAAAAAGAATAAGGAAAACAAAGCACGAAGCTAGTCCTAGCCGAAAACTACAGCCAAACAGCCATCTAGGGATGGGGCACACACGAGCACGATGAAGACCTGCTTGCAACAGAGTGTGGTAAGTGAGCCCGACCAACGCCCAAGTAGAAAGACAACACACATCCGCCGTCTCTCTCGCCGCAGAGGGACCCTTCCCTCTCGCCATGGCTCGCAAGGCGCCGTACCGGCGGACTTGAGAGACGCTCACCCTAGAGCAGGGGATGTGCCAGCTTCGGTACCTAGAGCAGCCGCAACACATCACCACTTGAACAATCGAGCACTCCGCGACTGCCGCGTCGCCCCAACCTAGAACGCCTGAAAGCTGCAGGAAAACCACCAGGTGCAGCTACTGAAGAAAGGCAGCAAAGGCAGCAAGTAAACCGACAGGCCACCGAGGAGCATTGCCAGGCAGCCGACGGGGACGCCTAGCCATGCCGAACCTCGTGACACCGCCGTCACCGGACCACCCAAGCCACCCATGCTCTGACTTTTGAACCCCTCACCTGAACGCAACCCTCCCCAGGCAGCGCCCCCAAGGAAGACACGACGCACAGTGCTTCGTCGCCACCCAATCCAAGCCGGATTTTTGGCTTTCACCCGGGAGAAGGAAACACGGGTGGAAAGGGGAAGGCCTCTGCAGCACCTCAAAGGAGGAGACGGCGTCAGGGACGTCGCTGCTGCCAGGCCGGCCAAGCCGGCCAACGGTTTCCCGCGGCCCAAAACCAGACCATCGGTCACCCACCCACATCATACCGGCGCTCAGAGGGAGGCTGGCGAGAAGCGGCGGGGACGAGGGAGACAGGGGGAAGGAGCCAACCTCAGATCTGACGAGGAGGGGAAGACATCCGCGCCACCGCCACCCGCCGACGTCTCACCACCCGCGTGGTCGAGGCTGCCGGCCAGAGCACACCCACGAATGACGCCGGCCGAGAAGGCGCCGCCGCCTCGCCAAGAAGGGTCGCCGCCCCAGATCCGAGGTCCTCCTCGAGGAAAGGAGCGACCGAGGCCTCGCTGCCACCATCACGGGCGGCCGCGCGAGCGGATCCAGCGGCTTTCTCAGGTGGCGGCGAGGGAGGAAGGGTGAGGGAGCGGCGGCGCGACGGGAAACCCTAGTCTCCGCCCGAGTCGCCCGAAGCAGACGACGCGGGGGCCACGGGGTGTGGGGGGAGGGGGCAAAAGCAATATTCCACTCATTAAGCCCAATAGTCCATCTACTTTAACATGTAACGAAGCACTTCAAGCTAAAAAACTAGACGATGGGCGTTTTCCTCAACCACACACACAGTCCC